GGCTCACTGCAACCTCTGACTCACTGGTTCAAGCGATTCTCCTGCCTCAGCCTCCCAAGTAGCTGGGATTACAGGAACTCACAACCATGCCCAGCTAATTTTTGTATTTTTATTAGAGGCAGGGTTTTACCACATTGGCCAGGATGGTCTCAATTTCCTGACCTCATGATCTGCCTACCTTGGCCTCCCAAAGTGCTGGGATTATAGGTGAGAGCCACTGCGCCTGGCCTATTGTCTTTTCTAAGAGTATATTTACTATGGTCCTTTAGGTTCTTTAGTAAGTAAACTATTTGATAACCCAGATGGATTGTGGATTTTTGAATATTATTTTAAAATAATACACATACTTGGTGTTGATAAGATCATCTTCTTAAATAAAACATGGATGCTTGGGTACGTCAATAATCCTTCCAGGAAGTATTTACATATTCTTGATCTACTGTGATTAAGTTCTTTGTTGGCTAATTGCAAATATACATAACATCCACAACTTTTTAAAGAGTATTATTAAAAGTAATATTTGCTAATATGTGACTTGGTTTTCTTGATTTATGTAAGATGATAGGTCCCTGTTGAGGATGTGAAGTTCTGGACCCTCTTCCAGGAAAAATTCTAACATACTTACATACACAATTTCGCACATCCTATAATTTCAGGAAACTTATAGTTTCCCAAGCTCATCCAAGGACTCTTTAGGTATCTATGGATACTTGACTAAAAGTGTATGATGTAGGGAGTGTAGGAATGTTAGGAATGTTCAAAACAAGAATTCTGTTACCTATACATGATTCTTTCTCATATGGCAGTAAAAGCTATAACAAATTACACAAAGGTAATTATGATTGGTAATTATCAAATATACTGGTTAAAAAAAAAGACAACTTCAGTTTCATAAAGACGAAAGAAACAAAAATACATGATGTAGCTAATTATACAATTAATCTTAAAAACTTCCTAGCAGGATGTTATGTGCCTTTTTATAATTTTAAAAGGTAAAGAACAGTTAAAATAGTGATGGAGAAAATGGAGTGCTCAAGTTGGTCATCTAATACTCATTATTATACAGTTTACAGTTTATTATACTATTTCTATGTGTTGGCAGTGCATTTTATGTGACAATATAAAAAGTAGAATGGGCCGGGTGTAGTGGCTCACGCCTGTATTCCCAGCACTTTGGGAGGCCAAGGTGGGCAGATCTTGAGGTCAGGAGTTCAAGACCAGCCTGGCCAACATGGTGAAACCTTGTCTCTACTAAAAATACGAAAACCAGGCTTGGTGGTGGTTGTCTATAATCCGGGAGGCTGAGGCAGGGAATCACTTGAACCCTGGAGATTGGGGTTGCAGTGGGCCCAGATTATGCCACTGCACTCCAGCAAAAAAAAAAAAAAAAAAAAAGTAATAGAATGTAAGGGGAGGTCTAGGTCAAATATCTCTGTGATCTTTTCACTTATAGTTTGCATTTAGTTAATTACCTTGCCTTTTACTTTTGTGCTGGTGGTGGTTTGGTTTTGTTTTGCTTTTTGAGACTGAGTTTCCCTCTACTGACAGGCTGGAGTAGTGCAGTGGTGCCATCTCGGCTCACTGCAACCTCCGCCTCCTGGGTTCAAGCTATTCTCCTGCCTTTGCCTCCCGAGTAGCAGCGACTACCAGCGCACACCTCCACACCCAGCCAATTTCTGTATTTTTAGTAGAGGCGGGTTTCACCATATTGGCCAGGATAGTCTCCATCTTTTGACCTCATGATCCGCCTGCCTCGGCCTTCCAAAGTGCTGGGATTACAGGCATGAGCCACTGCGCCTGGCCTGGTGGGTGGTTGCTTTTAAAGAATCAATTTGGTGTACAAATCTTTTCATTGTAGGTTTACAGGCACATGCCACCGTGCCCAGGTAATTTTAAAAGATTGTTTTTTAGAGACTAGGTCTTACTATTTTGCCCAGGCTTGCAAACTCCCTTTAAAAGATAGGGAAAGACGGCTGGGCGTAGTAACTCACGCCTCTAATCCCAGCACATTGGGGGGCCAAGGCAGGTGAATAACGAGATCAAGAGATCGAGACCATCCTGGCCAACATGGTGAAACGCCGTATCTACTTAAAATACAAAAATTAGCTGGGCCATGGTGGCGCGTGCATGTAGTCCCAGCTACTCGGGAGGCTGAGGCAAGAGAATCGCTTGAACCCGGAAAGCGGGGGTTGACAGTGAGCCGAGATCCTGCTACTGCACTACAGCCTAGCAACAGAGCTAGAAAAATAATAATAATTAAATAAATAAAAGATATTGAAAGCCGTGTGATTTATTAATTTTATTTTAAATATTAATAAAAGGAATTAATGGAAGAAACTTTACAGTATTATATACATACTGAGTCAGCTATCATTTCCTTTTTCTGATTTTTTTCTACTTGCCATTCTTTCTTGAGATTTTGTAGGTAATCTAAATTGAGTTGTATTTTCTTTTCTTTTTTTTTTTTTTTTTGAGACGGAGTTTCACTCATGTTACCCAGGCTGGAGTGCAATGGCGCGATCTCGGCTCACCGCAACCTCCGTCTCCTGGGTTCAGGCAATTCTCCTGCCTCAGCTTCCTGAGTAGCTGGGATTACAGGCACGCACCACCATGCCCAGCTAATTTTTTGTATTTTTAGTAGAGACGGGGTTTCACCATGTTGACCGGGATGGTCTCGATCTCTTGACCTCGTGATCTACCCGCCTCGGCCTCCTACAGTGCTGGGATTTCAGGCTTGAGCCACCGCGCCCGGCTAACTGAGTTGTATTTTCAAGTACTCTTTTTTTTTTTTTTTTTTTTGAGAGTCTCTTTGTGTCACCCAGGCTGGAGTGCAGTGGCGCCATCTCGACTCACTGCAACCTCCGCCTCCTGAGTTCAAGGGATTCTCCTGCCGCAGCCTCCCGAGCAGTTGGGACTACAGGCGTGTGCTAACACGCCCGACTAAATTTTTGTATTTTTAGTAAAGACAAGGTTTCACCGTATTAGCCAGGATGGTCTTGATCCCCTGACCTAGTGATCCACCCACCTCGGCCTCCCAAAGGCTGGCATTACAGGCGTGACCCATCGCGCCCGGCCCTACTTTTAGAGATTTTTTAAAGTATTGAGTCGTTTAATTCTTTGCTTAAAAATGATGGGGGTTTCATTTTCTGTGTGGCACCACGTGATTTTAAACTAAACTCTTCACTTAGTCATTTGGTTATAACCTCAGCATAGATTGCATAGAATTTAGAGAGGGGAGAAATTATAGCTTTCCTTTCGGACGCCACTGCCTGGTGAGTACAGGCATATGCCACCATTTTTTTTTAGTCGTGACGCGGTTTCTCCATGTTGGTCAGGCTGGTCTCGAACTCCCGACCTCAAGTAATCTGCCCGCTTTGGGCTTCCAAAATGCTGGGATTACAGGCGCGAGCCACTCACTGACCGTGGCCCTGGCTGTTTGTTCTTGTATTAAAGAAGGGCTCTACGTCCTGTTAGGAAAGGGCATAGCTGGCTTGGACCTACCCACTGCCTTTCTCAGGACCTTCACTCGTCCTGTTCCACCGCAGCCCCGCCTCCCCAACGCCGGGTGCGCTGCGGCCTGGCTGCCTCCCAGGCCCCGCCCCCGAGGCGCCACACTCCTCCCCCCCCCACAACTGCGTCTGCGCTCTCACGAAGGGGCGGAGCAGGGCGGTGGCGCGCTGACACCTGGCGGCGGCGGAGGGCGGGCCAAAGGCGAGCGTGGGCTGGGATTGGCTGAGGCGGCGCGGGTGGAGGGGGCAGGAGGGAGGCGGGGAGACGGTTGTGGGGCTGGTGTCGGTGCTGGATCCTGGGCGGTGTGAGGGGCGCGGAGACTGGCTGGGAAGGAGACGGCAGCGGCATGGCGGCCGGGTGTAAGAAGCCCGACCCTCCTCTTCCCCGTTTTCGTCGCCGCCACCGCTGGAGTCACTGGGACCCTCTAGTTTGCGTGTATTAGTTGTAAGCCCGCCGCCCCAGCCCTCCACTCCACGGCCCTCCTGCCTTCAGTCGCCGCAGCCAGCCAGAGCGTCGGCCGGCCGGGTAACACTCTCCTACCCCACCCACCAGCCCGCGGGCCAGGACCATGGAGGACGTGAAGCTGGAGTTCCCTTCCCTTCCGCAGTGCAAAGAAGACGCCGAGGTAAGTCGGCCCCGTGGCTGCCACGCACAGGCCTCTCCTCGTGGCTCCGGCCGAGGGGCGACCCCAGGCCCCAACCGTCGCAGTCTCCACCTTCGCGGGCGCCCTGCCTCCTGTGGGCGTCCCGGGACCTCTGAGGCCGAGCATTCGGCGCCAGTCCCGACTGGGCTCTTCGTTCTCTCTAGACCCCGGGGAGGGGCAGCGTCCGGTGTACTTAAATTTGAGGAGAAGAGAAAAAGCAGTCCCTTAGTCCTTAGGCTTGGCATTCAGGACTGACCTGGAGTAAGGTTCCTCTTTTATGGTCAAAGTAATACGAGAGCGAAGTTGGTTTTCATCTCCGTTTGAGGAATATCGGTGGTGTAAACGATTTACTTGCGGGACACATGGCCCCACATGTGGAATAGACCCAGCGCCTGAAGTTTGGAAGCGCGCCTTCGAAAAGTTTCCCAAAGTTTCTTGTTTGTTTTTAGGCAAAGCTATGACCTGCACAGTAAAGTGTCTCAAAGCTAGCACATCTGAATCTGAGAACTTTAATCAGAAATATTCCTTTTTGGAGGAAAATTAATATTGAAACTAAGATTCTATGTACCTTTTCTCCTGGTTTCTAATTTGTGGTTATTTTTATTCCACCTTACATTCCTGCATGCTGTTTTTACTGAGTTTTTTTTTTCTCCAGCTATTGCTAGTTTAACATTTTACGGCATTGCAGACTACTAAATTAGAATTTTCTGGAGGTTAAATTAACAAGACAAAGAATCTCAGCTATACTTCAGTAGGGTTAAGAAAGAACGTCTAAAATCTCTAGTTATAAATATCTTTAAAGTAGTTGGGAAAATAAAGCCCTATTTTTAGGAGACCAATTTATTCCAAATATTCTATTGAATATCTTCATTTGGGGTTCACATTTTTGTTTGGAGGGCTCTCTTGTGGTATTGATGCTTGACAGTTACATTTGTTTTAAGAGTAGAGACTTTGTTTGTGACTGGGTATTGCCATTGCAAAATGGAGTGCAGTGGTGCCATCTTGGCTCACTGCAGTATCGAACTCTCATGCTCAGGCCATCCCTTCACCTCAGCCTCCCCAGTAGCTAGGACTACAGGCGGGAGCTACCACGCCCGGCTAATTTTTTTTTTTTCTTTTTTTGTAGAGATGGGGTTGTTGCTCAGGCTGGCCCCCAACTCTTGGCCCTTAAGATCCTCTCGCCTTGTCCTCCCAAAGGGTTGGTTGTGAGCCACCATACCTGGCCCAAGAATATACTCTTAAATGAGAAAAAGGGAGGTCATGTTTAGGCTAGTTATTAAAATGAATTTATACTTAACATGCAATAATGTGAATGAGGAGTATGCTTTTATTTACTTATTTTTGCGATGGAGTTTTGCTCTTGTTGCCCAGGCTGGAGTGCAATGGCTCACTGCAACCTCCACCTCTCTGGCTCAAACGATTCTCCTTCCTCAGCCTCCCAAGGAGCTGGGATTACAGGCACCTGCCACCACACCTGGCTAATTTTTGTATTTTTAGTAGAGACGGTTTCACCATGTTGGCCAGGCGGGTCTCCGACACCTGACCTCAAGTGATGTGCCCGCCTTGGCCTCACAAAGTGTTGGGATTACAGGCGTGAGCCACTGAGCCTGGACAAAAAGCTTTATACACCAAACTGATTATTTAAAAAGAATATAGCTGGCCAGGTGCAGGGGCTCACGCCTGTAATCTCAACACATTTTTTGAGGCCCAGGTGGGTGGATCACAAGGTTGGGCATTGGAGACCAGCCTGGCCAACATAGTGAAACCCTGTCTTTACTAAAAATACGAAAAAAAAAAAAAAATTAGCCAGATGTGGTGGCGGGCACCTGTAATCCCAGCTACTTGGTAGCCTGAGGCAGGAGAATTGCTTGAATCTGGGAGGCGGAAGTTGCAGTGAGCCGAGATTGCACCACTGCAGGCCAGCCCAGGTGACAGTGTGAAACTGTCTCAAAAAAGAAGAATTTATTTGTCTTGTCTGTGTGGGACTGTTCAAAACACACTCTATGCTGCCAGATGTGTGGGGATTTTTCCACACCAAGCAATTTTTCAAGCAGGCATGAACTGGATGTCCCATAATTCAATTCTGACACATGCGTACCAGAAGTTAGTCAGATCCCACAGATTAGTGGTTCAGTCCCACAAGACTGCCCCCAACTTCAGATGTTAATCACAAGTAGTAGGTTGTCACCTATACTCCTGACTGACTGACTGAAAATCAGGGTTCCCATTACCCCTTCCTTGGTTCAGTTAACTTGCTGGAGTGGTTTACAGGGCTCAGGGAAGTACATTTACTGGTTTATTTAAAGGATGTTACAAAAGATGCAGTCAACAGCCAGAAGGAAGAGATGAATATGGCAAGTCATGGGGGAAGGAGTGTACACCACCAGTGTACACTTGGTAGCGGGTTGTGACTGCAAGTTGTCCAGGTTCTTGGGGTTTTAAACAAAGAATTGGACAAAACACCCAGCAAAGCAAAGAAAGAATGAATCAACAAAAGAATGAAGGCAGGGATTTGTTGTAAACAAAAGTACACTCCACAGTGTGGGAGCAGCTGGAGCAGACTCAGTTTACAGAATCTTCTTGGGTCCAGATACCCCCAGAAGTTTCCCATTGACCACTTTGTGGTCACCTCATGTAAATGAAGTGGTGGATTGCAATTGGTCAAGGGTGAAGTTACAAAGTTATACTTCTATGCAAAGGAAGACACCCACCTCATCAGTCTTCTTGATTGTAGACAGCAACCATTCAGAGACTAGAGTGAAGTTATAAAGTTGCAAACAAAGGCTCCACTCATCAGTCTGATTTCTTAAGAACAGCCAATTTTCCATCTGCCATGGGGAAAAGTGGCAGGTTTGCAAAGGGAGTAGCCTCTGGTCCTTTTGTTACTTAGGTGTGGAAAGTTAGGATTTTCCTTTCAATTTAGTTCTGGGAAGTCTGGGTGAAACAGCCTTAGGTTCCCTGCCTCCAGACCCTATTCACCTGCCTAGCTAGCACCTCCAATGTGTTCATCCAGAAGCTCAACTAATCTTATTAAACAGTTTTCATAAAACTTCATCTCCAGCCCCTCCCGTAGGTGTGTGTGGTTAAGACCGAGAGTTCAACCCTCTAGTCACATGGTCTTTCTGGTGACTGGCCCCCACCTGAAATCACATCATTAGCATAATCAGGTTTGATCAAAAGTGGCTCATGAATAACCAAAGACACTGCTGTTACTCAGAAAATTCCAAGAGTTTTAGGAGGCCTGTGACAGGAAGCGCAGAGAAAGACCATGTGTTTCATATTGTATCATAGGGATAAAGATAATGCTTAAAGCCTAATGGCTAATGGTGCAAGTATTGTCTGCTGAAAGCCAATTCATTCCATATTTCCTTTGTTTTTTTTGAGACCAAGTCTCACTCAGTTGCCCAGGCTGGAGTGCAGTGGTGTGATCTCAGCTTATTATAATCTCTGCTGCCCAAGTTCAAGGGATTCTCCTGCCTCAGCCTCCTGTGTAGCTGGGACTACAGGCAGGCGCCACCATGCCCAACTAGTTTTTTTGTATTTTTAGTAGAGAAGGGGTTTCCCCTGTTGCCCAGGCTGGTCTTACCAAACTCCTAACCTCAAGCAACCTGCCTGCTTCGGCATCCCAAAGTGCTGGGATTACAGAGCCTGGCTTTATAATGTATTTCGATTCTTCATTTCAATTCACTATAATTACTTTTACCTTTTTCTAACTTTTAAAATATTTTTTGTCTTTTAACATTGGGATTTTGTTTTATTTTGCAACTTCTTTATATTGGTCTGCATTTCAAAAACAAAGTGAAGTCTCTGTCTTGTGATGTGTGTTAAAATAATTGAACTAGATAAGAATGTTAGGCCAAGTAAGATGTAGGAAAGGCTCTTTGATAAGCATTTGGCATTTTAGATCAGAGGTGGCAAGTACCCATCACATAGCATTCATCTTTTATCCATTTCAGATATTATTTGTTTATCAGACACTCTTCTTCCTGAGTCTTGGACCACACAATGTTTTAGTTATCTATTGTCAGTTGATTAGAGTTGGCATGAGAAACAAAAAAATCTACTGACGTCTCTTAGAAGATCAGTTTTTGGAAGAATCTTCTGGAATATCTATTCTGTTCTTTAGTGAGCAATTTCATCAATTATATGAAGTAACATAATAATTCCGGAAGCCCAGTTAAAGAATGCCTTAAGCTTTGTTTCTTGTTCACTTAAATTTTCAGATGTTTGTGAAGCCACACAAGTCTGGTATTTTTATAAAATGTTCTTAAAAGAATAATGTAACTTTAAAAAATCTGCATACTTGTAAGTCACATCTTTAGCCTTTAATTGGGTGACTTTTTAAATAATGTTATTTACTTTTATTCTTTGTTTTCCTCCCATTTTAAAGGAGTGGACCTACCCTATGAGACGAGAGATGCAGGTATGGTAACCTTTTGTTTGTTCAAACCAACCTGTTATTATCATAAAAACAAACTTAGTTTACAGGATCTGAGACCTGCTGATGCATGATCTATAGGTTCATCATTATGTCTTTTAAATAATTAATTATTTTAAATATTTAAGCTTAATCTTGGATCTTAAAAAGATGAGAAATTAGGAAGAGGAACGCAGTAATAGGTATATGTGCTTAATGAGTCACTTTCTTTTTCCTCACGTGAAAATTGGATTTCTTTTGAAAGCGATTAGCTTTATTTGTCTAGATAAGGAGGTTGACTGTACAACAAATAAGTGTTGTTCATTTTGTGTCTGATTTTCAATCAGCTTCCATAATTAAGTCTTTCAGAAGATCAAATGGAATACTTTCAGTTTGGAATGAATTAAATGATAGCTAACCATCATAGCAGTTCATTTTCTTTTGCATTTCGTACAAATTACAGTCAACTCCGTTTGCCCCAGGATTAAGCAGTATCTTGTTGCTGGGAATTCCTTGACTTCTAAAAATCTGTTTCTTTATCTTTTAATGAAAATTCACTTTGAAAAAATATATGAGCACCTATGAGGCATTTACTTGGTGCTGTGAGGAATGCAAAGATGACTAAATGTGAGAAATCAGTCATGGATACAAATAATTATGACTCATAGAACTGAACTGTAAAATTACTATTAGTATCTAGGGCGTGACATATCTGGACTGAAAGCTTTCTATATTGAATTTACATAGAATAAGTTTGAATTCATCATCTGGAAGGTACATATTTAAATTGTTGAAACTTTCTCAACAGGCACATATTTGAGTTTGGACTTTTTATGTTACATTAAGAATTTGCTTCTATTAACTATAGATAATAGTTTTAGGTTGGGCACGGGAGTTCATGTCTGTAATTCCAGCAGTTTGGGAGGCTGAGGCAGAAGGATTGCTTGCATCTAGAAGTTCCTAACCATCCTGGGCAACATAGTGAGACCTCATCTCTATTTTTAAAGAAAAAAAAAAAGATGAAAAAAAATAGATAATAGTTCCAATCTTGTTGTATCTTGTTCTGCTTTTGATTTGGCCAAATATGGTTTTGTGTAGGTCCAAAGGGATGATTTCCTTTATGCCTATTTTATTTCTAGATTATAGCAGAAAATAGAAGTAAAATTTAAAATATTTTATTGATCTAAAATGCAACATTACGATATGCTAATTCCAACCTTTTTTTTTTTTTTTTTGAGACGGAGGCTCGCTCTGTTGCCAGGGTGGAATGCAGTGGCATGATCTTGGCACACTGCAACCTCTGTCTTCTGGGTTCAAACGATTCTTCCGCCTCAGCCTCCTGAGTAACTGGGACTACAGGCGTGCACCTCCACTCCCAGCTAATTTTTGTATTTTTAGTAGAAATGGGGTTTTACCGTGTTGGCCAGGATGATCTCTTGACATTGTGATCCGCCCACCTGAGCCTCCCAAAGTGCTGGGATTACAGGCATGAGCCACTGCACCTGGCCAATAACAAACTTTAAGCAAATTATTTTAACAACTATGAAAACACCCCACAAATTCAGTTATGTGGTACATATTTTTATAGATTTAAATTGCTAATAGTAAATATCTCAATTTTTTTTTTCTAGGAAATTTTACCTGGATTGTTCTTAGGCCCATATTCATCTGCTATGAAAAGCAAGGTATGTTAGATTCACCAAGAGAGACTTTTGTTAACAAACTTTTCTTGGGTAAGTTCTTGACTAATAAAGAGTTTTATTTTAGGGAGCATCAACAAATACTGTCTGTTATCAGTAATTATCACTCTGGAGTACCTTCCTCTTTCCTGATTTTACTAGACCAGTAGTTCTCAAGTGTTTTACCACAAAGCACAGAGTTTTTGTTTTTTTCTCATGAAATTCATATTTGTGAAAGATTTATCTAACAGTTGACCGTTAATAACTTATTTACTCTCTAAAATACTAGACATCTGTAATTGCTAATATAGCTTCAGAACAATATGAGATATAAAGCCCAAAATAAGGAATTTCAATGTTTAGTTAAGCCTTCCTTATCAAGGGTAAGACTGTTTGAATAAACTGAAAGTGATTCACCTTAGTTCTGTTTGCCAGCCAGACTTTAGAGGTCTGATTGGTATTCCTGATCTGAAATTTTAAACTTTTGAGCACCAATATGTCACTCGAAGGAAACCCTCATTGGAGTATTTCATATTTCAGATATTTGGATTAGGGACGCTCAACCAGTAAATATAATGCAAATATACAAAACAAAGAAAAAAATCCAAACTCTGAAATACTTCTGGTCCCAGGCATTTTAGATAGGGGATATTCAACCTGTATTCTCCATAGTCGAACTTTAATGGACTTACTCAGTTGCAGTTAAAATAGGTAGATCTCATTTTAATAAATATAGCAGTGTTCTTGCCACAAATGAAGATTCAATGCTACTAATTCTCTTTGAGTTACAACGTGAAATATATACAAATGTCTTTCCCCAATACTTTGCCTGTTCAGAAGTCAGTATAGTTAAATTGTATTTGATGTCTCCGTAATATAATTTGATGTTCTTAGGAATTTAAGCGGGGTGGGAGTTTTAAAAAGTCATTCGTTTTGAAACTAGAAGGTTGTTTTCATTGTTGAGACAGGGGTAAAAGTAAACCCTGGTCATCTTGATGACTCTGCTTAGTTGGAAAGACAGGGAGTTAATAAAAATAAGTTCTAGGGAAAGGATAGGACAAGTAACTGTAGGCATAGCTGTAATTTATTTTGTAAAAGGCAGATATAAACAAGGTTTTTGTCCATATAATTTGCTATTCACCAAGTACTAGTGCTCCAGATGGTTTTATATAATTTACTTTTTAAAAATTCCATTGTACCTTATAAATATATTTACAGTATTTATCACATTAAATGTCATTATTTGTTTAAAAGTCTGTCTCCTCAATAGGAATCTCAGGAAGGCAAATTGCATGAGGCCAGTAGTTCAAGACCAGCCTGGCCAACATGGCAAAACCCCGTTTCTACTAAAAATACAAAAATTAGCTGGGCAGGTGGTAAATGAATTTTGTGTTTAAACTGATCCTATCCCCAAGACATCTTAGTATGTATATGTAAATACTTCAAAATCTGAAATCTGAAACACTTCTGGTCCTATCTTGGGGCCAACATTTTGCATAAGGGATACTCAACCTGAATGGAATATAATAAGATGTTATCGAAGTTGCCATTTTTAACTTTAGGAGATTTTTAAATTTTATTTTTGAAACAGAGGCTTGCCCTTTCGTCCAGGCTGGAGTGCAGTGGCACAATCTCAGCTCACTGCAACCTCTGCCTCCCAGGTTCAAACGATTCTACTTGAGGAGAATTTTTAAATGGTGAAAGGTTAATTAGATTTTGTGGAGCATGTAAATTAATTCCGACTCGTAAAGTATACTGGGAGAGGCAAGGAATAGTCTAGAGATTTGGGCCCAGGTACTGTTGTTAACGAGGTCAGTGATGTCCAATATTTGTAATGTAACTGTTTTATGTCTTAGTAGTCCCCTCTAAAGAATAAAGATTGCAGTCAATATATATAATAACTACTGTTTATTAAACACTTGCTCTGTGTCTCAGGTGCTATGCCAAATATCTTACATAAAGGTTCCATCAAGCTCTAAAATTATAGATATGAAATATCCCTGTTAACCTTTTTAGGACATTAGTGTATTAATCTTGAATCTTTGAAATATCTTGCTGCCTACTTCAGGTATATTCTAAAATTAGCTTTAATCCGCCGGAATTAAGCAGAGGTGTGGGTTCTATGTATTTTCAAACATCTGTGTTATAATAAGATGTTTTGTATTTTGAAATGTTTATCTTCCCTGTCCTCCCTCCCCTGGCTTTTTTTTTTTTTTACAGCTACCTATACTACAGAAACATGGAATAACCCATATAATATGCATACGACAAAATATTGAAGCAAACTTTATTAAGCCAAACTTTCAACAGTTATTTAGGTAAGAAATATTGTTATAATTTGTAAAACACTAAAGGAAGTTTCATTTCAGGTTTTGTACATTCAGTTTTTTCTGTACCTATCTCGTTTGTAAAGATGGGTCACACAGTACATAGTTTTTAAAAAATAAATCCTGCTTAAAATACTTAAATAATTTATGCCCATAATGTAGGATTCTTTTTTTATTTTTTATTTATTTTTTTATTTTATTGCATTTTAGGTTTTGGGGTACATGTGAAGAACATGCAAGATTGTTGCATAGGTACACATGTGGCAGTGTGATTTGCTGCCCTTCTCCCCATCACCTATATCTGGCATTTCTCCCCATGCTATCTCTCCCCATCTCCCCACCCCCCACTGACCCTCCCCTATTTTCCCCCAACAGACCCAAGTGTGTAATGCTTCCCTCCCTGTGTCCATGTGTTCTCATTGTTCAACACCCGCCTATGAGTGAGAACATGCGGTGTTTGATCTTCTGCTCTTGTGTCAGTTTGCTGAGAATGATGCTTTCCAGGTTCATCCATGTCCCTACAAAGGACACAAACTCATCGTTTTTGATGGCTGCATAATATTCCATGGTGTATATGTGCCACATTTTCCCTGTCCAGTCTATCATCGATGGGCATTTGGGTTGGTTCCAGGTCTTTGCTATTGTAAACAGTGCTGCAGTGAACATTCATGTGCACGTGTCCTTATAGTAGAACAATTTATAATCCTTTGGATATGTAACCAGTAATGGGATTGCTGGGTCAAATGGAATTTCTATTTCTAGGTCCTTGAGGAGTCGCCACACTGTCTTCCACAATGGTTGAACTAATTTACACTCCTACCGACAGTTTAAAAGGGTTCCTATTTCTCCACATCCTCTCCAGCATCTGTTGTCTCTAGATTTTTTAATGATCGCCATTCTAACTGGCGTGAGATGGTATCTTTGATTTGCATTTCTCTGATGACCAGTGATGATGAGCATTTTTTCATATGTTTGTTGGCCTCACGTATGTCTTCCTTTGTAAAGTATCTGTTCATATCCTTTGCCCACTTTTGAATGGGCTTGTTTGTTTTTCCTCTTGTAAATCTGTTTTAGTTCTTTGTAGATTCTGGATATCAGCCCTTTGTCAGATGGGTAAACTGCAAAAATTTTTTCCCATTCTGTTGGTTGCCGATTCACTCTAATGACTGTTTCTTTTGCTGTGCAGAAGCTGTGGAGTTTGATTAGGTCCCATTTGTTTATATTTTGGCTTTTGTTGCCAATGCTTTTGGTGTTTTGGTCATGAAGTCCTTGCCTACGCCTATGTCCTGAATGGTTTTGCCTAGATTTTCTTCTAGAGTTTTTATGGTGTTAGGTCTTATGTTTAAGTCTTTAATCCATCTGGAGTTAATTTTAGTGTAAAGTGTCAGGCAGGGGTCCAGTTTCTGCTTTCTGCACATGGCTAGCCAGTTTTCCCAACACCATTTATTAAACAGGGAATCCTTTCCCCATTGCTTGTTTTTGTCAGGTTTGTCAAAGATCAGATGGTTGTAGATATGTTGTGTTGCCTCCAAGGCCTCTGTTCTGTTCCATTGGTCTATATCTCTGTTTTGGTACCAGTACCATGCTGTTTTGATTACTGTAGCCTTGTAGTATAGTTTGAAGTCTGGTAATGTGATGCCTCCCGCTTTGTTCTTTTTGCTTAGAATTGACTTGGCTATGCGGGCTCTCTTTTGGTTCCATATGAAGTTTAAGGTGGTTTTTTCCACTTCTGTGAAGAAGGTCATTGGTAGCTTGATGGGGATAGCATTGAATCTGTAAATTACATTGGGCAGTATGGCCATTTTCACAATTTGATTCTTCCTAACCATGAACATGGAATGTTTCTCCATCTGTTTGTGTCCTCTCTTATTTCGTTGAGCAGTGGCTTGTAGTTCTTCTTGAAGAGGTCTTTTACATTCCTTGTTAGTTGTATTCCTAGGTATTTTATTCTCTTTGTGGCAATTGTGAATGGTAGTTCGTTCTTGATTTGGCTCTCATTAAGTCTGTTATTGATGTATAGGAATGCATGTGATTTTGGCACATTGATTTTGTATCCTGAGACTTTGCCGAAGTTGCTTATCAGTTTCAGGAGATTTTGGGCTGAGACGATGGGGTCTTCTAGATATACAATCATGTCGTCTGCAAATAGAGACAATTTGACTTCCTCCTTTCCTATTTGAATACCCTTTATTTATTTTTCTTGCCTGATTGATCTGGCTAGAACTTCCAGTACTATATTGAATAGGAGTGGTGAGAGAGGGCATCCTTGTCTAGTGCCAGATTTCAAAGGGAATGCTTCCAGTTTTTGCCCATTCAGTATGATATTGGCTGTTGGTTTGTCGTAAATAGCATTTACTATTTTGAGATACGTTCCATCAATACCTAGCCTATTGAGGGTTTTTAGCATAAAGGGCTGTTGAATTTTGTCAAAGGCCTTCTCTGCATCAATTGAGATAATCGTGGTTTTTGTCTTTGGTTTTGTTTATGTGGTGAATTACATTTATAGACTTGCATATGTTGAACCAGCCTTGCATCCCGGGGATGAAGCCTACTTTATCATGGTGGATAAGCTTTTTAATGTGCTGTTGCAATCGGCTTGCCAGTATTTTATAGAAGATTTTTGCGTCTATGTTGATCATGGATATTGGCCTGAAGCTTTCTTTTCTTGTTGAGTCTCTGCCGGGTTTTGGTATCAGGATGATGTTGGTCTCATAAAATGATTTGGGAAGGATTCCCTCTTTTTGGATTGTTTGGAATCATTTCAGAAGGAATGGTACCAGCTCCTCTTTGTATGTCTGGTAGAATTTGCCTGTGAACCCGCCTGGACCTGGGCTTTTTTTGGGTGGTAGGTTCTTAATTGCTGCCTCAACTTCAGACCTTGTTATGGGTCTGTTCAGGGTTCTGGCTTCTTCCTGGTTTAGGCTTGGGAGGAGACAAGTGTCCAGGAATATATCCATTTCTTCCAGGTTTACTAGTTTATGTGCGTAGAGTTGTTTGTAATAATCTCTGATGATGGTTTGAATTTCTGTGGAATCTGTGGTGATATCCCCTTTTGTAATTTTTTATTGCATCAATTTGGTTATTCTCTCTTTTTTATTAATCTGGCTAGTGGTCTGTCTATTTTGTTGATCTTTTCGAAAAACCAGCTTCTGGATTTATTGATTTTTTTGAAGGGTTTTTTTTGTGTCTCTATCTCCTTCACTTCTGCTCTGATCTTAGCTATTTCTTGTCTTCTGCTAGGTTTTGAGTTTTTTTGATCTTGCTCCTCTAGCTCTTTCAATTTTGACGACAGGGTGTCAATTTTAGATCTCTCCTTTCTTCTTATGTGGGCATTTATTGCTATATACTTTCCTCTAGAGACTGCTTTAAATATGTCCCAGAGATTCTGGTATGTTGTGTCTTCATTCTCGTTGGTTTTGAAGAACATCTTTATTTCTGCCTTCATTTCATTGTTTATCCAGTCAACATTCAAAAGTCAGTTGTTCAGTTTCCATGAAGCAGTGCGGTTCTTAGTGTCTGCATTCTGAGTTGTAACTTGATTGCACTGTGGTCTGAGAGACTGTTATGATTTCCGCTCTTTTGCATTTGCTGAGGAGTGATTTACTCCCAGTTATGTGGTCAATTTTAGAGTAGGTGTGATGTGGTGCTGAGAAGAATGTATATTCTGTGGATTTGGGGTGGAGAGTTCTGTAAATGTCTATTAGGTTAGCTTGGTCCAGGTCTGAGTTCAAGTCCTGGATATCCTTGTTAATTTTCTATCTGGTTGATCTGTCTAATATTGACAATGGGGTGTTAAAGTCTCCCACTATAATTGTGTGGGAGTCTAAGTCTCTTTCTAAGTCATTAAGAACTTGGCTTATGTATCTGGGTGCTCCTGTATTGGGTGCATATATATTTAGGATCGTTAGCTCTTCTTATTGCATTGATCCTTTTACCATTATGTAATGTCCTTCTTTGTCTCTTTTGATCTTTGTTGCTTTAAAGTCTGTTTTATCAGAGATGAGAATTGCAACTCCTTCTTCTTTTTGCTCTCCATTTTGAGCATCCCTTTATTTTGGTAAATCTTCCTCCATCCCTTTATTTTGAGCCTTTGTGTATCCTTGCATGTGAGATGGGTTTCCTGGATACAGCACACCGATGGGTTTTGGCTTTTTATCCAATTTGTCAGTCTGTGTCTTTTGATTGGGGCATTTAGTCCATTTACATTTATGGTTAACATTGTTATTTGTGAATTTGATACTGCCATTTTGGTGCTAGCTGGCTATTTTGCCCATTAGTTGATGCAGATTCTTCATTGTGTTGATGCTCTTTACCATTTGGCATGTTTTTGGAGTGGCTGGTACTGGTTGTTCCTTTATATGCGTAGAGCCTTTTTCAGGAGCTCTTGTAAAGCAGGCCTGGTGGTGATGAAATCTCTGAGTACTTGCTTGTTCGCAAAGGATTTTATTTTTCCTTCACTTATGAAGCTTAGTTTGGCTGGATAGGAGATTCTGGGTTGAAAGTTCTTTTCTTTAAGGATGTTGAATATTGGCCCCCACTCTCTTCTGGCTTGTAGGATTTCTGCTGAGAGGTCTGCTGAAAGTCTGATGGGCTTCCCTTTGTGGGTAACCCGACCTTTCTCTCTGGCTGACCTTAGTATTTTCTCCTTCATTTCAACCCTGGTGAATCTGACGATTATGTGCCTTGGGGTTGCTCTTCGTGAGGAATATCTTTGTGGTGTTCTCTGTATTTCCTGTTTCCTGGACTTGAATATTGACCTGCCTTGCTAGGTTGGGAAGTTTTCCTGGATAATATCCTGAAGAGTGTTTTCCAGCTTGGATTCATTCTCTTTGTCGCATTCAGGTACACCTATGAAACGTAGATTAGGTCTTTTCACGTAGTCCCACATTTCTTGGAGACTTTGTTCATTCCTTTTTACCCCTTTTTCTTTAATCATGCCTTCTCGTTTTATTTCATTGAGTTGATTTTCGACCTCTGATATCCTTTCTTCT